AAAAAAAAAAAAAAACAAATTTTACAAGTAGTAGTGGGGCTTACAGCAACAAACGTCGTTGCTCACATCTAAGGATGGGTGCAGAAATTTAAAGTTAGAATGTATAATCGAACTTTCAAAGAAGTTGAGAGAAATTTTACAATCGAAAATTTACGTCCAAAAAAATCACACCTCATATAATTTTGCATCAAAAAATTTACTTGGGATATGATTTTATTGGATGTAAAATTTCAAAATTTTTTGATGTCATACTCCATATAAAATTTCCTAATAAAATGATGAAAATTACATTGAGAAATTTGTATTGCAAAAATAATAAATGTTAATGAAATAATTAAATTTTTTAAAAAAATACGAGTTAAGACGCCTCTTTTTAATACGTACGTTTGACGCATCTTTAACTATTTTCATTATCTGTTTGAACTATTCGATATGCCTATAATGTAATCCTTGAAACGAGCTTTGAGATGATATAAGCGATTTGTAGATTCGACTACCGTACGATCGTCGGAAAATTTTTACAGTTAGCATTATATCAAAATTCTCGAAATACTAATTTTAAACCGTCTACTTTGACAAGTCGTAACATTTGCTACGACGCCGTTAACGACATAAAAAACTAGACTGTAAACACTACAAAATGATATTAAGAATACAATATTTTGATTTCGTTTCTCATCTTATAGTGATTTCGAAAATTGAAACAGAACATAGAAAAAAAAAAAACCAAAGTTGGGGGGTCATGTGCCCCCCAGGCCCATCCCTGGGTCCGCCAGTGGTAGCGGCAGTGTGTGGTGCAGTAAAGGACTGGTGATTTTATGTCTAAGCAAGGGGGAATAAGTCTGGTTGGAAGAAAAATAACAATTTTGTATTTTTATAGCTTTGCTTAAAGTTCATAGCTCAACTTAACTTTGTAGAAGTCATTATAACTTTTTAAGCAGTAAATTTAATGCACCAAATAACCGAAAGTGTCTTTTGTTAACAGAACCCGTCAAAAGTAATTGTTTGCTATAATAAGAAACTGTTATCTTCCATAAGATAATCACAATCAGGAAAAAAGAAACTTATCAATCAATCACGTCAATTCTTAATTTCCAATCCTGCTACGGTAACAGCCTCAATGACAGATTTTTACACAGACAGACACTTGGCTTGGAAGTTAAAAAATAAAACAAAACACTGCCGATCAGGGGCTGACATTTCAGCCCCTGGAACAAGCTCCTGTCACTGAGCGTGTTCAACAGGCTTTATTGATTTCTATGTCCCTAAAGTAGACGTTAGATACTGTTAGTGTCTGACATTTACAGTATCAGAAAGTGTCAAAGTCCGATTAAAGATTTTAAACCATATACGCAATTACAAAAACTCAAACAAACCTCTGTTCCAACTTTAAACAAAAATGAAGGATCTGCCAGCATTCGATTCCTAAGCATGGAGCAATGTCTCATAAGAAATCCTAATGGCCCAACTGAACCCTGCCAATATTAATCAAAATAACACTAAAATCAATATGTAGATTCACAATCACATATATACTGATAGTATTTGCGTACACATAATAATTTTTTATTTATATACATTAACACGTACCAACAATTAGTATATGTTCTCTCAGTTTTCCATTAACGACCAACAATTGAAACTGCATGATTAAAATTCACCTAAAATAATTGATGCTTCTATTTTCAGTTTAATGATCCCAATTCCATGACATACTTAGTGCTAAACTAATTGACATGCATTTTCACCTGCAAATCTAAATAACGAGCAAGAATCAACTCCCGAAGCCCCGTGGTTTTTGCAGCTTCAAGCATATCCGATGGCAGGCTCGCACCTCGACTTTCCGCCTCCTTTACAACATCCTCGTACTTCATTATCAGCCCAAACTCCTCTTCATCACCATCACCCTCTTCTCCACCACCGCCGCTGCCACCGCCACTTGGCGGAAACAGATCATTCCCGCCGTCTCCATTCCCATCAACTTTAGGCCCCTCAAAACCTCCTGACAACGAAATCGTTTTGGCCACGGTCTCTGATTCGCTGCATTTGACTCGGAACAGTTTTTGATTGCCGTTCTTAAAGGAGGACGGGTGATTCGAAGGTGTATGCTCCGCAAAGATTTTAAATTCAAAACAGACATTGCTGCTTGTGCAATGATGCAGCGAATTGGTAGCGTCCGGTGAATTGCAAAGTTTGGAGATTGCGAGGCCAGTTGGAACACAAATTGATGACATGATTTTAATCCAAAATCTATTTCAAATCTCTCAGTAATGGGCTAGTGCGTGTTTTTGAAGGTGTTCGACTGCGTTTTTTGTTTGTGTAGGGTTGGCCGCCGTTAGGTGCGAGTCTCTGTGACATTTTATCTGTACTCTCAGAAATTGATTGTACTTTTAGGACATTTTTATCCCTTCTTTGGAAATTTACATTGTAGTTGCTATGGGGTTAGCGGGTATTTGGCAAATGAATCCAATATGAGCTGACAACAAGATTCTAGACTTGTCAACTCTGGTAGACTGGTATGAAGGATTTTTGAGATAATTTCACAAATGGCCACTAAAGTTTGTACAAAAATTCAAATTGATCGTAGAAGTAATTTTCTAAATCAGTCACTATTAATCACTCTGGAAGTGGAAACGTGTGATGTGTAACGTGTAGGGCCTGCTTGGGAGTTTTGAGTTACTCGGAAAGGAGGAGGGCGTTGGATGAGTCTAGAGAAGGAAGAGGCCTCCGCCCCACGGCGGCGATTATCCTGCACCACCCACTTCGACGACCTCTGGTTTTGCTATTGTACGCCGCAATCTCCTCCCTTCTCCTTTCTACTTAATAAATTGCATATAATTCTTAATTTTACCACGATTTGGCACTGCGCCCATAATTTCATGAATCGACCAATTAACTTCTGTGATTAAATAAGTTAACCTTACTTATATCTGTTTGTGGATTTATTCATTGTATGGCTTGAATAAATGGAAATTAATTTTTGGAGCTTTTTCTTCATATGAATGCATTTGAAAGAATTTTTTTTTCTTGGCACCCCTGGGATGGGATTTCATACGATCAACAACTACATTGGGTCGAACTCACCTTTAACAACCCATAAACCAAGCCTTAGCTTAGGGACGTGGGATACAAGTAAGAGTCAATTCAAATTACGTTGTAAAATTTTCGTCGTCAAGAGAAGTTGTAGCCGCCATAAATTTAATGCATTCTTTTCTTCTTTATGGAGACTTTAGATGTTGGAGATGCCCCATTTTTTTAGTATTTTCTTTCAAAGTTTTGTCAATGAATGTTGAGGGCTGCATCTAGCTTACAGAAACAGAACGAGAATTCAAATTGAACTGCAGTTGATGTTTAAGCAAACTTACAACATGAACAAAATCCGCTGAATCACCTGTCTGTTTATCCTGCAAATTTGTGGGTTGGGAGAAGGAGGAACGTCCAGTTTGCTCAATTAACTGGCATCAACTAATCCCAAAGGTCTGGAAGGTCATCTGGTACTACGTTTAAGCACAATGGTCTTTTGGTTGAATTCATTTGCAATGTTTAATTTTTATTTTTATCAAGGTTTCCTGTCGATGCACAGGCCCCTTGAATGTTTAAACTTATTTGTGATATCTGCTATCCATTTTACAATCATCTAATATATGGACTATCATGCTTTGGCAGCCCCAGTCCATCAGATGCAGCAATACTATCGGCTTGGTGATCTTGACAATTGTTCTGGAAAGTGGACTGCTCTTGTTGATTGTTTAAGTCTCAAAACAAAAAGATCTTCAGAAGTAGAGGTGTGTCTTGCATGCAGAACTTTGCTTGGATGCTGGATACTTGATGCTTTGCCGTAGCATGAGAAATATAGAGATCATACATTATTATAAAGATTAAATTGCAGTTTGCATCAATGGACTCTGACATGTGTCCAAGTGGTAATCTCTACTATAGGCAGGTAATTAGGTTAAACTCTAGCATTATCCAGTGGAGAAGGGGTAATTTGGTATGGACGACGGATGTTTTTTCTTTAGGGCAGCTTGCATCAATGGACTCTGACATGTGTCCAAGTGGTAATCTCTACTATAGGCAGGTAATTAGGTTTAAACTCTAGCATTATCCAGCGGAGAAGGGGTAATTTGGTATGGATGACGGATGTTTTTTCTTTAGGGCAATGCTTATTTATAGTGAGAATATGGGAGGGAAAGAAAAAGATCTACACAACGATTGCCCGAGTAATGATAAGTTTGGTTAATTGAAATGGGATGTAAATTTGATTGAATTTCACCATTATAAAATGTGTCAAACCTCAAAAGTCATATAGTGTTCTGCTTGACTGCATCCGATATTCATGCACTTGGAGAGACCTAAATGTCTGTAACTATAATCTTTAACTCTGCTATCTGTCTGTATGATCTTTCTTCATGTTTTGTAAGTGGTGTTCTTTCCGAGTACTGTTCAGGATAGCCTGATTTTTTTATTATTGAAATAAAAGCATTATGTTGATGTAACAACTTGTATTTTTATTCAAATCTGAAATAAAATCCCAACCCAAATAAACGATTAGAACTGCCATAGCTTGATTCAGTAATATCCTGGCAGAATGTTCTATAGTAACAAATGCAATATATAAATTCAAGAGAGTCATAATTGTATTACCTTGCTATAGCACTAGACAATATACTAAAACATTTTAGATGAACTTCTGGAGATGAAAGTGTATCACAGAGATCAAATCACATGAACTTCAAATGGACTATTAACATAGAGGATTCGTTGTCTGTGATAATAGTTTCGG